GATTTAAAATTAGCTATACGAAACTGTTTAGCTAAGCTCTGTTGAAAAATCTCATGCAACAGAAAAAAAAATTTCCCCAGATAATATAGAGTAAAAATAATAATATATAATAAAAATAATAATATATAGTAAATATAATAATACATAATAAGAACAATCTATAATAATTATATATAATAAAAACAATATAGAACAATAATAAATATTAATAGTATATAATAGTGATATACAATAATAATGATTATTACTATATTAGCACTATGTTGTTAGCCTCAATATTGAAAAAATTATTCTTTTAAAAATATTTATATATTAATTATGGAAATATTTAGCAATTTTTCTCAGAAAATTCCATTAGAGATTTTATACTTTTTGCAAAATGCAAATTTTCTCGGAAATAACTTTTTTTTCATTTAGTGTTTTTCATTCCTTAAATTAAATTCCTCTTGTGTGTACCATTTTAAAAACTATTTTCATTTTATGAAGATTCCTGCTCTTTTTTTATTAATTCATGTCGAACATTGTTGATACCATGTATCTTGCTAATTACTTGGAAATAGTTATAACTCATCACGCTCCAATGGATCAAATCTAACGAGATTTATCGTTTCGGTGCTCCTGGCACAGCAAGAAACATTTCTTTTCCTGTTATGAAAATTGGTGCAGCTGTGTCAAACCCATACAGAGGACACCATATGGTGAATTTTACTATCGACATATCATTCCTTTCTTCTTTTTTTTATAAATACAAAATTCCTTTTCAGTCATGAATAAAATAAAGTTTTCAGAAATTCTAGTTTTTGACGATAAGGAAATATTAAAAAGTCAGCAAACTTTAAGTCTGAGAGAAGGGAATGCTTTCTTCTCAGAAATTGAATTCATTTCTGCTTGGATGAATTTAAAACTTGAGTTTGGGTTTCTGATTTTGAGAAAAACAGTTTTGTAAGTAATTGATCTTGTGACCACGTGAAGCGGTTTTCAACACTTTTGTGTGCTAAAGAAAGGAATTTGATGGAGAAAAAAATATGAACCGTTTAATCAAAAGGTTTTTTCTTAAAACGTTGACATTTTTGCAATTAAAATAGTTTGCCTCTTCATTTTGAAATACTTTGAATTTTACAAAAAGATGCCTAACTCTGTAAATAATTTAAAGAATATAAAAAAAAATAATTTTGACTAACTTATTGACTAATTGTTGCTAATTAACATCGTTATTCTTTAATATTTTTTATAATGTTATTAAATGACACAATTGAACTGAATTATATTCCCTTAAAAAATTTTCTTAAAATAGTTTATTTTGTTAAAAAAAAACTAAAACGCCTATAAAAATTTTGTATGCAGTTATAATAATGTAGTTATAGTTTGCATAGTGTAATAATGTAGTTATAGTTTGCATAATGTAATAATGTAGTTATAGTTTGCATATAGTTTGCATTTGCATTCTCTTAAAATTTCTGTTTAAAAATGTTTGTTTTGTTTAAAAAAAGCAAACTAGAGCACTTATAAAAATTTCGCACGCAGCTATAATAATGTAGTTATATATTAAATGACACAATTGACACAATTTTCTTAAAATTTCTGCTTGAAATTGTTTGTTTTGTTTGAAAAACAAAACAAAATGAAACGCTTATAAACATTTTGGATGTAGTTATAGTTTGTATAATGTCATTAAATATCGCATTTGAACTGAATTGAATTCTCTTAAAATGTCTGCTTAAAATTGTTTGTTTTGCTTTAAAAAAACAAACTAAAACGCTTACAAAAATTTTGGATGCAGTTATAATAATGTAGTTATAGTTTGCATAACTTTATTAAGTGACGCAATTGAACTGAATTGAATTCTCTTAAAATTTTCGTTTAAAATTGTTTGTTTTGTTTAAAAAGACAAACTAAAACGATTGTAAGAATTGTGTATAATATAGTTGAAGCATAGAAAAATTTCAAACTATAAAAATTAAGTCTTATATTAAATTCTAAATAATTTCATAAAGTAAGTTACTTAATAAAATTGAACAAATTATCTCCATCTTAAAACTGCCAAAATTATTTTTGAGTCGAATTTAGAAATATTTAAATTGCTACATTATCAACTGAATGCTACCATTTATAAAATTTAAAAAAAATTAACACTTACAAATAATTTTAAAAATTCCCATGAGCTTATTTTGAACAGAATAATGCTTTTTCCGACATTTTTTCCTCTGTTAGTCATTCTTTTGGCCAATTCTCAGTGTTGGAATTTCTTTCCAACGTAAACGGTGAAGCCTAATGTCAAATATCCTATATTTTACAGATGATTTAAATAATTCGTGTTAGTAATTATGTAGATAAGCAAAGTTATAAACGCTTTCTTGTCTTGTAATGTTCATTTACAAATACATCTGATTTACTACTGGCGCATGTAATGAAATGCATTACGTTCATTTTTTATAACGTTTGTCTCGAAATGTGTCGCAAGAATTTCTTATAAAATAATTAAAGAAAGTAGGTGAAAATTCGGTGGTTTAATAATAATAACACCAAGTAAGCCATCATCTTTTCATCTGTTTTCGCTAAAACTTTTATAAGAAATTCTTGCAACACATCGTTGCTTTGAAACTAAACCGTTGTAACTCAAAAAAGTCGAAAAATGAGATTTTTGGGTCATTTTGTGTAAAAAAAGTCACCCTTTTAGAAAAACAGTCTGTTATCTTTATAGTTCCATAAAGTTAATTTAGAGAGCAGATAAATCGCCATTGCATTGTCGCGATTAGCATTAGTGCGGAAAGTTTGAAATCGCTCTCCTGAAAAACTTGCTTTTTTGAGTTACCACGGTTTAGTTTCAAAGCGACGACATCTTAGGATGAACTTTATAACAGTATCTGGAAAATAAAATGAGACTATGTCATCTCAATTCTTATAAGTAACATTAAATATTTTAGCTCATACTTTTTCATGCGGAACCATAAAATGTTTTATTTATGCTTATTTTTTATGCTTATTATTGCTTTTCTTTAAAAAATTTAAGTCATTTTTCTCCTTTGTTTTAACAACACCTAAGCAAAAAGATTTAAAAGAAGATAAGAAAAGAAACTAAATCTTTAAGAATATTTTTTAACTTTGATTATTAAAAAGCATTCCTTTTAAATTTTAACCACACGTCTTGTATTTCGAGATCAATGTAAAGCTTAAATTTGAAACATTTTAAATTTGCTATAGAGCAAATAAAAATGTTTTTATTTGATCTGAATTAACAAATATGTTAATTAACACTGAACATTTTGAAGTACAAAGTGCATATGCTTAAAGTAAGAATGCTCAAAAATATAATATGGTGAAATTTTAGGTCAGGAAAAAACGTATTTATGCCAAAACCTACAGGTTCAAATATTTGAAATACAATACTTATAATAAACCTAATGTGATAGCATTGAAAAGAGAAGCAAAAAAATATACCTTTTAAAGGTTTTTTCCAAACAATTTGTTCATTTCTAGGCAATTTAGTTACTACCATTGAGTACGTAAAAGTAACTACCATTATACAAAACATAGTACAACTATACAATGGTCGGTACTATTTAACAAGTAATACCACTCTAAAAAGAATGATAAATTTAAACATGTATTCAGTAATTAGACACGGAATAAACACTACGATTATTTTTGAAATACACGGGTAATCACTAAATAGCTTCGATCATATAATGATAGATCCTATAATACAAGAAACTAAACTAAAATTTTCTCATATTTGCTATATAAACAATATTAAAATTTATTCAACCAATCAAACTTTTCTTAATAGGAAAAAAATACATAAAAAAGTGTAGAAATTTAATAAAAGTTAAAATGGAAAAATTCAAACATTTTTATATAACTGTTAAATAGGACAAATAAAAAAACTGTACATACCCTCAATTATTTTAATAAGATCTCTATTGTGTGAATTAGTTTCAGTCATACATGCTTATGTGTTAATATTGTTCCAATGTAGTGAAATAGATTAATAAAACCCTTTTTAAGTAATCTCTAAATATTATTAAATTTTAAACTATGAAATATATTCAATTCAGATGACTAGTGAAAATCGAGTTTATATAATCTGGGCTAATTCTGCAGGTGTGATGTATGTTTTATATAAAGCTAATCTTAAAATGTTTTGCAAGAATTTCCAGCAAAATGTAAAAAAAAAAACCGGATGAGAAGTCGTTGGTGCTTTTCTAATAGCAATAATGAATCTAAATAAATCATCGACTTTTCATCGACTTTTTTTTTAAAAAATTGATAAGAAATTCTCGCAACATATTTTAAGATGAACTTTAAATAACAGGAATAAACCCGAAAAATTAACCGAGAATATCTACACTCGATTTTTATAGTTACACGTGAAATTTTTAATATTATTATTATTTTTTCGGGCAAGCCAATTTTAGCGGCTGCAAGTTTATCCGGTGGCAAACGTCTAGCTTTTGCAAACACCAGAGGACCTGTAGTTTGAATATGATGCTGAACATCATGAGTTGAAGTGTTGAAAGTTAAGTTATTCGTACATATTCGAGGGTACTGCAATAACAATTTTCGATAAACAGCATCTTCTGCAATAGTTGTTAAACCCAAAGAGAAAGTAGGAAATATTTCCCCTTTAATACCAGCGTAAGTTAAGGAATCAATGAATTTTTTATTTTTTAAATCAACCAGCAATTTAAAATGGGTAAGAAAATCCGCTCCTAAAATTGGTTGAGTAACGTCAGCGACAAGAAATTTCCACTGAAATCGCCCGGAAATTCCGAAATCTAAAGTACATGTTGTCTGACCGTAAACTGCAATTTTTGAACCATTAGCAGCATAAATATCAAAAGATTTATTAGAAATCAAATTTTTCTGCAGATATGTTTTTGGAATAACTGAAACAGAAGCCCCGGTGTCTATAAGAAACTGGCGGTTGGTGAGCCTGTCGTATACAAATAGGCGACTTTAACTAGGACCTATATCTGCCGTCGCATGAACAGAGGGTTCAATCAGTTTTCCGAATTTTGAGCGTAATTGCAAGGAGGAATGCATTTGTTAGCTTCAGTACCGAATTTATAGTGATACCAGCATTGAGGTCTCGACACAGTGCGCTGCGTCGACCTTGAACGAGAACCTTGTCTACGAGCGGTAAATTTATTTTTATTCCGATATTGTTGTCTAGACAAACGTGTAACAGTCTCGGAAAGTTTACGAATTTCATCCTCCAATTTTTGAAAACGCGAATTGTCATCTGTCACATTTATAGAATTTACTGTCAATGAATTTTGAGTTACTTCCAAAATTTTATCGGCCTTTTCGGCTAGGAGAGATAAATTTTGCTCGCCTTTTTCCATGCAAACTGAAAGAATTTGTTGCACGGACACCGGTGAACGCTGAAGAAAAAGTGAACGTAAAATTTCTGAGCTTATAGAATTACCAGCGAGATCTTGCATGGAGCGTAATAAATGCGAAGGTCGTTTATCTCCCAATTCTAAGTGTTCAAGAAGCATTTTCAAATGAGCACTTTCGGAATCTGCATAGTTTGCAATTATTCTATTTTTAATTGTTTCATATTTATTATCAACAGGTGGCTGCCGAATAATATCCGAAATTAAGGTTAGAACGTCTCCATCTAGAGCAGACACAACGCAGTGATATTTTGTGTCGTCGGCGCTTATCCCAGATACTACAAACTGAGATTCCAATTGAATAAACCACACTTCTGGATTAGCGCGCCAAAATGGGGGTGCTTTAAAAGCGACGCGAGCAACATCTGCCACGCTTTCAGAAGCAATAATTTTGTCTGGCATTTTGTTTATATGAGCGAGTCAGAGAGCAAAAAGTAAAAGGCATGCACAATAAGTCACAAATTAAAATTTCTAAACGAAGTATATCAAACATAAGTTAATAAATGCATTTTGAGAAAGAATGCAAAATACAGTTGAAGAATACTTCATTTTAAGTTAAAATTATTGTAAGTGATAAAGTTGAAACTCATTAATTGTATTTCTTATTCTCTAATTAAAAATTCATTGCTTTTTACACATTGTAATTGAAATTTATAGTAAATTAAGATTAAAGTAACAAAGTTTACGAAATTAAAAAGTAGCTATTAAATGTCAAATATAATGACAGAATATTTTAAAAAGTTCAATTAACTTTATAGAAATATTAAAAAATTTACATTACTTTAAGCATTTATAAATTTAAATTTCATCTAATATTTGAAATATTTACGTCTTAGAATAAGCTTACTAAACGCCAGTTGACACCACCATGAAAGAAACATTCTATTTGCAGACTGTACGTGTTCTATGTCCTAACGGGTCACCACTTTCAGGCCCCCGGGTCTTCGAGGGTCTATTGAACGTTATGCATAAAGAAAGAAATATCATTCATACATAAACTAAATTTATTAACTGAAAACAAGAACACAACCATCTGATCTGACGGCCGAGAATGAAAAAGGTAAAGCTGAAAAAATGAAAAACCAAATTACAACTACAGTAGTCAACCGAACGTTGCCAACGGTGTTAAATAAACTTAAAGCTTTAAATAAAGTTAGGTGAGGCTAGATCTATAGCTCACCTAAACCAACAAAAAAGTTTTTTTTTCTTAATTTTTAAAATATTTTATTTCATATTTTTTTCGTCCTGAGGACCATTAAATCTTTTGAAAAATTGCAGATTATTTTTTTTTACGAGAAACGCCTTTTAAAATCACACCTATAAGCAAAATAAATACGTGATTTTGGCTAACTTGGTTTTGGATAGGAATGGTTTTGAAAGGAGTGTTTATTCGGTGACGTAGCACCAATCCACATGCCATTTGCGTTGATAATTTAACTTTTAAACACTAATCAAGCATTAAAAAACATCCAAAATCTTAATCAGAATCGCTTACAATTTTATTCATGATATTGGCCAATGATGGAAAACAAATCATTTTTCAAACATTTCTCCCGAGTAGAATAATTAAAACTTTTAGACAATTTTTCGGATCGGGGGCTGAGATTGCTTCTCTCAGTAGATGCCCAAATTTCAGAAGCCCAGTGTCAATGGTTCTGGACTTATAAGAGATTCAATGTCGAATTCCACGACAAGAATAGACAAAATACTAAAAAAAAGACACAGAATGAAAGTTGAAACAAATGTAGCTGCAATAAAATTAATTCTAAAATATAGCTTGCAATGCAAAATAGTAAGGCAAACAATTTCTATCTCAGCCTATGAAATACAGACAGAATCTGTTTCGAGTTTGTTCGTAATATATTCGTGATTTATTTCTTCCAAGCATCGTTTTTTTTTCTTTCTCTTTTTTTTTGAATCGAATATTGAATAGTTGAGTTGATTTTTAATGAGATATGAAAACTAAATCAACTCTGAAATTATGATATGCATTGAAATCTTTAGAAATTTTTTTCTAAGGTAAGCATTTTTATAAATAGAAGTAAACATTTGCTTAAAAGAAGTAAATATTACCTGTATTGATTTCTTAGATTCGTCGTTGCAAAAAATGAGAAATTCCGTTTTAATTTTCTTAAAAATAAATAAATAGAATAAATCGATTGTAAAGTAATATTTTTTTGTATTTGATGAAGAAAAGTTATGTGTTGAATGTGAATTTGCTTTCTGTCAATATATTTTCAAATCATGAAATTCAATTCATATTCACGTATTACAGAATTTAAATTTTCTTTATTGAATACAAAAAAAACCACATTAAAATCAATTTATATTTTCCTGAAGCAGTTGAACCAGATTTCAAAATAGATTTTCTGTTAGAGGTTTAATACAATTTGAACAGTGTTGTGTGTGTGTCGAATAACATGAGTTAGGCGGGATTTTAGAGTAAAACCTTGAAATCTTTTAAATTTAGGACTTCCTAGTTCGGTAGGTTACTGTGAAACAATAAATTGCTACACCTCCACCTTAAATAAAAGACATAGATGAACCACAAAATGAAACTAATTTGCTGTAATCATAATAAAACGCTAAATTGAAGCTTATTTCAAATCACGTTGTTGATCGAATTTGAGAAAGATTGAACTATAGTTGATTTATAGTTGAACTTGACATCCCATTTAATTTACAGCAAATTTCAATCTGAATTAAGGTTCAATAAGTTATAAAACTTCTAATTAGTTTCTAATTTATTAATTACTCGTCAGATGTCCTAAAGTTTACCAAAAGTTCCATATAATTGCTTAGTACAAGGGGTGATCAAATGAAGAGGTACGAAACGACACGGTGGGTACAAATGTAGACTTAATTCAAAATATACACCATAGGCCTGTGCACAGCGATCCCACTGATGAACAAGCCGCAGGATTCCTTGTTCCCAGAATTCCTGGGGTCTTGACGAGACCCAGTCCTTCACAGCGTCGTTGAGTATGTCGTCCGAGTTGAAGAGCTTCCCTTTCAGGTGTTTCTTCAGTGGACCAAACACATGGAAATCGCAGGGCGACTAGTCCGGATTGTAGGGCGGATGGTCCAACGTCTCCCACTAGAACTTGGCCAGTTCCATATGTGTGAGTCTGGAGACGTGTGGACGCGCGTTATCGTGGAGCAGAACCACACCCTACGTGAGCAGCCCCGGTCTTTTGTTCTTGATGGACCAGCGTAGGCGTCAGAGTGTCTCACAGTACATATCGGAGGTAATGGTTTTTCTGTGCTCGAGGAAATCGGATAACACCTCGCTGCTCCTCAATCGTCGAGTTTTGCAACGCGAACGCCATCCGGTCATCATACGGACTGCCGCATCATTTGGACGCCGCTTTTGATAAGAGCCTCTGCTCTCTCCTGCTCATGCGGGCACCAGCGCATGCTCCGATCCCAGTCAGAGACTCCAATCGCATCCCGAGATGTCTCGCTACGTTCTCCCATAGCGGAATATGCAAATATTTAATTGTTACGTTTTTACGTCGTTTCGTACCTTTTCATTTGATCACCCCTTGTACTAATTTTTTTACATAAAAAAATAAATGTAGAAATTTAGTTTGTGTGATACTTTTTAAAAAGCTAATTTTTAAATTTACTCATTTAAGAAAATTTTAAATGAGAAACTAAGTTTTAAAAAACGAAATAAAAAAATCTGCAAATAATCTGTGAAATGATACTTTAAGATAAATAAGATTTTTAAAAAAAATGAAATTTAAAGTTATTTTCAGAAAAAAATATTAAAACGTGTTGGTTGCATTAGAAAGACAACAAAATTTTGTCTCTAAGCTATGAAATGAATGACAGTTTTCGTAAGTATTTAAAAAAAGAATAGAGAAAAAGAAATAAAGTAAGATTTCCCTTCAGCTAAATGTTATTAGATGAAAGGGAATCCACAGACAGATGAAACTTGTCAAAAATAAGATAAAATAGGTTTGATACATTTCCTTTTACGTTTTTATTCTCGTGTTTAAAACAATTTTCTTGTCTTTTGAAGTACCTTCTTGTGGAAAAGTTTAAAGTTAGTATTAATTCATGCTCAACGTAAAATTACAACTGAAACTATGTCAGAGAAATTGATTAAATAGACTATTAAAAGCAATTGAAATCAAAATAATTTTTATAAGTCTTTTTCTTTAAGATAACTTTAATTCCTACTAATTCTTTAAATAAGGGAGCAACTGTGCACGTTTTTTCTAAAAATTCATATTTTCCATATTTAAAGTTTATATTGCGTCATAATTTACTATCGTAAAACAATCTATTTTATACTTTCTTAGATATTTATTTAGTGCTCTATATTTAGTGTAGTTTTCTTTAAAGAATACCATCGAATGATTTCTTGAAACAACATTAAATAAATCTCGCTAAACCTCTCAAATAAATTACATCCTTTTTCAAAAAAAAAAAAAAAAAACAATTGAGAAGTGTCAACTTTAAGTAAAGGAAAACTTTTTAAGCCTATTAAACTTGTACGTTATTTTTCTAATATAAAAAGTTTAAGAGTAAAACAAAGAAGTATTGATCATTATTAAATAATTGGAAGATTGTTTCAATTTCGAATCTTAGAAACCAAGTTGTTTAGCGTAAGATATCTGACAGAGACAAAGAAAAGTTTTGTAACTTTTAGTTTATCAAAGAAAAATTCAGGAAATTAATTATTTTTAAGCTTTTCTTTGGTTAATAATAGGATATAATATATCATAAAAATGTTTATCTTTCTCAGTAAGTTTTTTTATTATATTTAAAAATAAAATATAGAAGATATACTACTATGTTTTAAAATTAAATCTGCAAATTTATAAATAAATGTACTATTTTAAATTGTTATCGTACTTCTGGTGCAGTAATGTTTTGGGACATGATGCACAAATGCATATCATCGGTGAATTTTTAAATATGAACAAAGCTCAAAATGTTTACTTTCCAGAATGGACACAGTTCAAAATGCGTGTCATAAAAATGAACACTGATCAAAATGCTTACTCTTATCATCGGTGAATTTTTAAATCTGAACAGAGCTCGAAATGCCTACTCACAAAAATAGACGCATTTCAAAATGCGTCTTCATGAAAATGTACACAGCTCGAAATTCCGGCTAAAATGTACACTGCTTGAAATGTGAGTTAAAATGAACACAGCTAGAAAGAAGTGCTCACGGAAATGAACACAGCTCCAAATGCATGTTTACGATAACAGACGTAGTTTGAAATGCGCCTTTTTAGTTCTCAACCCAAACATAACAACATAATATGTCATGCAAATGCTTTTTTTCCTTAGTAAGTTTTATTTATATTTAAAAACTAAATATAGACGATATACTACTATGAATATGTTTTAAAATTAAGGCTGCTAATTTATAAATAAATGCA